CTCAAAGTGGCACCCTGGCTCTTCAAGACTTTAAAGAAGTCTTGTGGAACAGATTTGCCTGACTGCAATTGATAGTGTGATTCCAGGACCCCTGCCTCATGACCATTGGGTGTGGATTCCCGTGAAATGAAATCATTGACCACTTCCATCTTTCCCCTGTGTATCATGATATGATCTCTTGGGTCCAAGGGTGAGAATTTTGGTGTTCTTTACGTTGAGCTACGACCCATCCTGCAGGATGTAGTCTGTGACCTTTATAAATCAGTGCTTCAAGGTCTCTGCTCTGGTACAGGGCATACTTGGGTCATGTGCATATGGCAGGAGGTCACTGAGTCCTCCTCCAATCCCAATGTCTCATTCCTCATAGAGTGCACTTCCTGGCATTATTTCATTGGGGTACACACTGAATGAGGAAGGTGAAAGGATGTAACAGAGAAGACCCACCGTTCTTCACTTAAAACCATTCATTAATCTCGTGTTCTGTTTGGATGACTGCCTCTTAGTCTATGTCCCGGCGCTGCCACGACATGATTCGGCGTTCTGGAGTTCTGATTCTTTGCACCGTTACACACAGTTTTTAATGTGCCATGAAATTGGATGTCCTTGCATAGTCAGTAAAACACAAGTAAACCTCTGTCTGGCATTTTCTGCTGTCCGCCAAGATCCCCCTGACCTCAGCAGCAGTCTCCCTTTCCTTGTTTTCTTCTGAATCGGCCACGAGTCTCTGGCCGCTCCTTGTCGATGTACTGCTGCAACCATGTTTTATTGATCTTCAGCAAAATGTTTAACTTGCATCTGGTATTATTGATAGTGTGATAATTCTGCATTCTGTTGGGTTACCATTCTTTGGAAAGGGCACAGATGTGGGTCGCTTCCGGTCAGTCGACCAGGTAGCTAGCTGCCTTCCAAGTGTCTTGGCATACACTAGTGAGGGCTTCTAGCACTGGATCTGTGTGATGACACATTTCAGTTGGAATTCCGTCAATTTCTGGAGCCTTGTTATTCAGTAATGCCTACAGTGCATCTTGGACGTCTTTCAATACCATTGATTTTTGATCATATGCTACACCTTTAAATTATGGAATTCAACCAATTCTTTTTGGTACAGTGACTTTCAGTTTTTTAAAGGTTTGTAAAAATGTATCCCTTACATGTTTTTTCGATGCATCCCTCATAGTTTGCTCTTTTATCTGTCGAAACCTTCAGATTTGCAGCTGGAGGATTGCGCTCAGCTACCACTCACTGCCGTCAGGTCAGTTAGATCCATAGACTCTCTGGAGGGCGGAGTATTACTGCCTCTAAGGGATTTTGATGCTCATGTTTACTGGAGGAGAAAGCCTCCTCTTTCTCCTGAGGACCGGCTGGTAGGTTTGAACTGCTGAGCTTGCGATTCGTAGCCCAATGCATAACCTACCATGCCACCAATGTTCCCAGAGGCTTGCCAGGGATTAGGAACACACTCTTTTAGTGTATTTAAAGCAGACTCTTTATTAAGCTCCTTTGTCAGTTCCCCCAGTGGTTAAACAAAGGAACTTAATAGTTGTGCTTTTTGTTTCTGTTGCATTTTCCAGGTAGTTAAAATTATCTTAAAACATGAGAATTAATCTGTCATTTTCTTTCTTTCTAACAGTTCTACCTAATTCTTTTTCCAGTGTAATATTTCATCATTGAGATGCTAGTCGGCAAACTTACTCACTCATTCATTCTAGGGAGAATACCTCCACCATTTCCCACTAATTATGGTAATAATTGTTAGTTTCAGGTAGTCTTGATTCTGTTAAGAATCTATTCTTAGTTTGTTAGTAGCTTAAAATTAGTTTAATGTGGGGTTCAGTCTGTCAAATGCCAGTTGGCATTTATCGAGATGATCATGTTGTCTGCCTTTGCCCTGTTAATTTGATGCATAATTAATTGACTTGGGTTCTTGAGGTAAACCTAAATGGGCCAATTAGTCCTAGATTTATAATTTATTACAACAAAAGGCTTTTACACCCAATGCAATCAAGATAGATAGCTGGTTGATTCATTGGAAATAATTGGCCAAACAGGGACTCATTAACAGTCATACGTACATGTAATTTTTTATTTCTACCCCTCTTTGTGCACCCTATAGGAGCCCTGGTGGCGCAGTGGTTATGTGTTGGGCTGTGAGCCGTTCAAAACGACCAGCAGCTCAGAGGGAGAAAGACTGGGCTTTCTACTCCCGTAAAGAGTTACAGTCTCGGAAACCCACAGGGCGTGTGTGTGTGTGTGTGTGTGTGTGTGTGTGTGTGTGTGTGTGTGGCGGGGGGATGGAATCACCCCCCCCACCATGACATCGTCTGTGCTGTTGTGGTTACGTGCTGTCATGTCAGTCTCAACTCACAGCAACCCGAGTGCTGCAGATAAGCCTAGTGCCCAGGCCCCTGCCGCCCTCACAACCGTTGCTCTGTTTGTATCCCTTGTTGCAGCCACTGTGTGACTCTGTCTCACTGCCTGTTTGGCTTTATTTTTCGCCGGCCCTCTACCAGGCAGGATGTCCTTTTCCAGGGACTGGTCCCTCCAGATAACACGGGCAAAGTATGAAAAGGCAGAGCCTCCCCCTCTTCAGTTCTAAAGAGCATTCTGGCTGTACTTCTTCCAGGCTGTTTGTCCTTCTGGTAGTCCAAAGTACTT